ACTGCCCGTGTCTCACTCAGTGTTAGTCATTTTTGCCCCCCACACCTCGAGCTTGATCTCTACGTCCTCAACATCACGGCAACTTCCCCGGCACGTTTTCCAAAAAGCAAAGGCGTCATCCCATCTTGTTGCGCCTCTACATTTCGCTGCTATGCAACGCCGCGCTCCCTACCTAGTCTACAAGCGTCTTCTTCATATCAACGCAACGTACTGACTGCAAGGTGCTTTGTAGCCTTTTTCTTTGCCTGACCTATCGGCTACCTACTGCCAATTCGGCAGTGTCTACGCATCCTAGACTGCTTTCTTCACACCGACTTACTCATCTCGTTGCCTTCGGTCCTGTTTCTGCCTTACTCTCGTCGACCTCTGCGCCTCTTCTCTCATCTACAGACGGATTCCTCAAACTCCTAGGTCGCTCTCCCATCATTTTTCTTATCCTTAGCAAGCTGCATATCGAGTATATGACGACCACAAATTTGGCAATCGATTTTCAAATCTTGTAGGCCCACGGGCTCCCACCGACATCGGCTGTCTTCCTGTCATCGACAAGCTCATCAGGAAGCCATGGCGAGTCGTCAAGATGGACCGTCCTTCAGCTCTAGGAGGCTGAACGGACGGGCTATCGGCCAATTCGTTATCGACAAGGAGATTGGCAAGGGTAGCTTTGCACAGGTGTATGTGGGCTGGCATAAGGTGCGTTACGAGCTGCTGCAGTTAAACAACGAGATCACAGCGATTGGATGGATGAGCCTCAGCCTGCTTGCCCTATCCCTCAGTTGCGACTCGTTACTCCGCCAAATTGGCGAATTACTCCGTCCCTTCTTCCGTTCCCAGTACTAACTGCCGATGTGCTCTGACACAGGACTCGAAAGCCGCCGTTGCCGTCAAATCTGTTGAGCTCGAACGACTAAATAAGAAGCTAAAAGAGAACCTCTATGGAGAAATCCAGATTCTCAAAACATTACGGCACCCTCACATTGTGGCACTTCATGATTGCCTTGAATCATCCACCCACATCAATTTGATTATGGAATACTGCGAACTAGGAGACCTGTCGCTCTTTATCAAAAAACGAGACAAGCTGTCTACACATCCTGCCACCCACGATATGGCTCGAAAGTACCCTAGCGCACCAAACTCGGGTCTTCACGAAGTAGTTATTCGTCACTTTTTGAAACAACTGGCGAGTGCACTGGAGTTTCTTCGCAGCAAGAATTACGTCCACAGAGATGTGAAACCTCAGAACCTCCTCTTACTTCCATCACAAGCTTTTAGAGCTCAGAGAGCTCTCCCCATCATGTCCGCCAGCCATGACTCCTTAATACCCGTTGCTGGCCTGGCTTCACTGCCGATGCTCAAGCTTGCAGATTTTGGCTTTGCCAGAGTGCTTCCATCAACATCTCTGGCTGACACACTGTGCGGCTCTCCTTTGTACATGGCTCCTGAGATTCTTCGCTATGAGCGATACGACGCCAAGGCCGATCTGTGGTCTGTAGGCACGGTTTTGTACGAAATGATGACTGGTCGGCCGCCTTTCCGGGCACGAAACCACGTCGAACTCCTTCGCAAGATAGAGGCCTCTGAGGATGTCATCAAATTCCCAAGGGAAGTCGTCATCAGCGCCGAAATGAAGGCCCTTGTCCGAAACCTGCTCAAGCGAAGCCCTGTGGAGCGTCTAAGCTTTGAGAATTTCTTTTCCCATCCAACAGTAACGGGTGAGATCCCTGGATTAGTGGAAGACGACATTCCAAAACCTCCCAAACGAGAACTACAGCCGATTCCCCAAGGAGAAGAATACCCTCCATCTTCCCGAGCACCTTCTGCTCGCCACTTAGGTTCAGACAACCCACGGGAACAAGTAGCATCGCAATCCCCACGAGAAGCCGCACCTCGATCACCGCCACAGGGAAACCACGGTGATAGTCCAACCAGACGTCAATCTACGGATTTACAACAGCCTGGGAACTCTCCTCGCGATGCGGGAGCTGGTCTGGGTATCCATCGACCATCACTTCAGCATGCTTCATCTTCACCCAATCAACCTCGTGTCTCCGATAGATCATCTCGAGAGCAACCAACTTCACGAAGCAACCCATCCCATGAATCGTCTCCCAGAGTGTTGAGGCAGTCATCCAACGGCAAGAAGATCACCGAAGAGGAGAAGGCAGCGCAGGATGTGATGTTTGAAAGAGATTATGTCGTGGTCGAGCGTAGACATGTTGAAGTGAATGCTTTGGCCGATGAACTGGCTGCAAATGAAAGGCTGTCTGGCCAAGGCTCCGACCCCCGTTCCGCACAGATGGTACGGCGAAGCACGCAACAAGGGGCACCGACATCAACAACTGGTGCAATCCCGGCACCGTCCTCTCGCACCGCCCTCGTAGCCCAGGGTCGCACGGTACACGACCGCAGGTCATCCTACGAGAAGGCGTTGTCTGCTAGTCCTGGCTCTGCCTCCAGTGCCATTTCCAAGGCCATTCAGGATGCCAGTCTGAGGCTGTTTGGCTTTAAAGTCGCTCCAGTCCGTGGTAAGGGCCATTCGCCTCCCATGTACCAGCCTTTCCCAGCATACCCAACGCCGTCTTCTCCCGGTGGCCTCATCGGAGATGGGAAGAGCTCCCCGTCAGCAGATGAAGACGCGAGAACTAAGGATGCCATGACGGAATATGCTGAACGAAGCGACTGTGTATATGGATTCGCTGAAGTCAAATTCAAGCAGCTTGTTCCCATGGCACCTTCAATGGATCATGGTCTCGGCGGCGTTGGTATAGACCAACTCTCCCAAGATGAAGATGGCCTCACCATTGAAGCTGTTGTTGCGCTATCTGAAGAGGCATTAGTGCTGTATGTCAAGTCCCTTACCCTGCTTGCTCGGGCAATGGATCTTGCCAGTGTTTGGTGGTCCAAGAAGGGTCGAGGTGATGGTGGCGGTGGTGTATCTGCCGCGGCTACGGATAATATCGCGCAAAGCATCAATGCTATCGTGCAATGGGTGCGACAGCGCTTCAACGAGGTATTGGAGAAATCAGAGATTGTGCGATTCAAGTTGATGGAGGGTCAAAAGATGCTACCAGAGGATCACCCCAGTTATCCATCGAACCAAGGCGCGGACTCCTTAATCTCGTCATCCGGGTCAACAGCGAAGCAAGTGTATCTGACTCCAGGCATCAGCGCGGAAAAGCTTATGTACGATCGTGCTCTGGAGATGAGTCGTGCGGCTGCGATCGACGAGGTGACAAATGACAACCTTCCTGGCTGCAAGATTTCCTACAGAACTGCGATTCGCATGCTTGAAGCAGTTCTGGACAATGACGATGATGAAGTTTCTCGAAGACTGTCTTCTGGTAAAGAGCCGACCAGAAGCTTACCCAAAGAGGCTGGGAGTGAACTGGACAGCGATGAAGAGGCTCATGTACGAAAGAGTAAGTAAATTATCACCCAGATCGGAGGTCTGCGGGCAGGACGCTAACTTAGAGGCCAGTGATCCAGATGATTAAGGGCCGCCTTGCAGCCGTTGTGAAGAAGCAGCAAATGATTGCCGACGCCAACACCAAGGAACAACAAGCTCAGGTGCAAGCTGCACGTCGACGTAGTGGCGACGCAACACCCCGCAGCGTGCCATCGCATGGCTCGGCATAAAAAGAGGCACGCGCATCGAAGAAGAAGTTGGCCAGATCTCAAAATGAAAACCGGAAGCAAAACAATACAGAGACGAAACAAAATAACAGTTGAACAGCCCCGCGGCTAGAAGATATTATACTTTGGTTTTCTCGTCTTTTTTTTTTTAAATGTCGATACCAAAATTTTCTTTCCATCTTAACACGTTGACACTGGCCTGGTTTTTTTTTTCTTTTTTCTTTTTTTTTCCCGTTTGTGGTGGCGTTTGGACCTTTGGCTGCAAAGACTATGCATTAAACAGCCTTGGCATATTCCTTGCTCAGTACCACTAGCGAGTATGTCGATATAAGATTTGGAGATTGTGTTTGGACTTGTGGTAGGGAACAAAGGCTCAATGGTCATGGATTGGCGTTAGGGAATTGGATCTGAATTTGGTTGTTCGTTCGAAGTATAGTGTGGGAAATCACTCAGAGAGCTGATGATGGCAGATGTTTGCATGCATCATGTTGGCAAAGTAAGCCCATGGGCGTTTGTTGCCGTGTATAGCGGACGGTATACAAGGATATACCGGAATCCCGAGTTGCACATGTCTTTCCCTTTGGTATGCATTCAGTCTGGAGGCCTCTGTCAAAGGTCTGGCAGTGCCAGCAAGGCATTTTGTATCTCTTAACACATGACTCTGAATAGCAGATGACGTGGCGGGTTGGCCCGTGCAATCTATCACTGCTCTAGCGTAATACTCTGCCATTGTGTTTGGACGTGATCTTTGCACCGTGAGATTCATCGGGTGTCTACTATTATTTTGAGGGCAGCTGCCTCTGGAACTCCTCATCCGTGGCTAAGGAATATGGAGTGCATACATGTTGGTTCTAATATGGCGAGGCTTATGACATGAAGGCAGGGTTATAACCAACGAGTTCTGAGAGACCAGGCATGAAGAACAGACGCCTAATTTGCATCGTGGCAGCGCCTATAGACAAGGACGGAGCATTGCTGTGGACTGACGCTGAGCACGTCTGGACGTCCACGGGATATCTATGAACAGTGTCCTAGCAGCGTCCCTGGCCCTGAGGTCGGTAGTCGGTATTCGGTATTCAAACGAGCGTTCCGTGAAAGTGGCATCAAAGAGCATGGTGTCCCGCTCGGGGCACTGGGTGTAACACTGCGTGCGAGCTTGTATATTGCTCAGCAAAGGCAGAAGCGCGGCTGTGAGTGGGAGCCGTCCAGACTTGATATATAACCCGACGACAGCCAAAAATGCGTGGGAATATTTGACAACCTGACATTTTTGCCATCTGGGCCTTGAGGAGGCAGCACCACTGGTCTTTCCCTTCGTTTCCTTTTTTTTTTTTTTCGCAACCCTCATTTGAAGCATCTACACCATGGGCAGTGCTGCGCGGCGCCCCGGCTCACAGCCGGTTGACAAGGGTGGCCAAGATGCCGACGCGGCCGTTCAACGGGCAGGACTGCCGCTTTACACCAACGCGCTTGGCCTGGCGTCCGACTTTGAAGCGTACATGTCCTCTCTGGGCCGGACTCGCCAGCGCCTCCTTGCGGCCGTCCACTCGCGCCAGCGGGCTTTCATGGCGGAGCTCGAGTCCGAAACTGCCGCCGGCGCGGCCCTTTACCGATCCCTGTTTGAGGAGCAGCGCGAGCAACTGTCGCAATGTATTCTCCGGGCCCGCTAGGCGCGGGAACGGGAGCGGAGGAGGGAGGCCTGTGAGAGGCGGAGGGCGCTACGGGTGTCGGGGGACCTTGTGCTGGGCAGGATATGGGCGTTGATTGACGATGTCGATGGGCTTTGCAGGACCGGGGAGGAAAGACGCTGGGTCGAGAGGCTGGAGAGGGCGAACAGGGAGATTGAGGAGGTGTGGGAGGAGAATAGGAGCGTGGTGGAAGGGGCGGTGCCGAGGTATTTGGAGGGCGTCCCGGTTAGGATGATGATGAGGCCGCCGGTTGCGAGGGGGCCTTTGAGGAGCGCGGCTGGGAGGCGGAAGGGAGGGAAGCCCGGTTTGGTCTGTTTGCAATGTGCGGCGAAGGGACTGAGGTGTTCGTTGGGGGGGGATGCTGTGAGGGCTTGCTCGCGGTGTGTTCGTCACGGGGATACGTGTTTGGTCAAGGAGGGCGGCTGGGTGGTGCTGGGAGAAGATGGGAAGTTGGAGGACGCAGCGGAAGACGATGTATTGGCTGCGAGGTTGGAGGAGGAGAAGGAGATGGTCCTGGCGGGCTCAAGGGATGTGGTGCCGGTTGGCAAGGCTTGTTTTGCTCCGCCACGGCCGTCGGAGAGAGAGATGGAGTCGGTGCTTGGACGGATATTGGGTGTGAGGGGTTTGGGCGAGTGGACGGGAAAGAATGTCTGTTGACATCGACTCGGAAAGTGTGCTGGGGTTTTGGGGTTCGGGCTGACCAAATGGGTCGTGATAGACTGATTCTAGCTTCTATTATTGTGAGAATGCTAATGGGTTCACTTGTGTGCTAGCCAGTTCTGTTAGTACGGCCGGGGCCTGGATAATCATCAGTCTCCATGCCGTGTTACATCCCGGCGATATGTGATGGAGAAGACGACGGTAAGCAGCTAGCAAGAGGACGAGGGCATACGCATAGCATAATCGCTCAATATTCAACTTTCGCGACGTCGTCTAATCGTCAACAGCAACCACCGTCTCGATTCGGCATGGATCATACACCAGCCTCCAACTTTGTCAAATCACACATGACGCCTTCATTTGAATGCTCAAACTATTGGCAACTCATTACTGTCATTGCACACATGCCACTGGCACCTGGTGTAAGAGACATGGGTCACCTCTACGGAGTACCGTGTTGTGCAATAAAGATGCCGCCGCCTCTTAAATAAACACAGTCGCCTCCCTTGAATTCCTTCATTTGAGCTCCTGGAAAATACCAACTTCTGTTCTCTGTGTATAGTGTCATCTGTCCGTTTGCCAAGACTTTTCATTCGTTGCCTTGAGCATATGACATGATAATTTCACTTTGCACTCATCCTGCCCCGCTGCTCAACAACTCCATCATCATCTCGTCTCAACATCGACGTTAAACGCCCCCCTCATTATGCCTCCGCCACCAGATCTATCATCCTACCGTCTCTCAGACCGAGACTCCCAACGCATCTTTGCCAGCGAAATCCTCCCCGCTGAGTTCGACCACCTCCCTTCTCACCATGGCCCCCAAGCATCGCCGCCTCTCGCCGTCCTAGCCGTCGGCCAAACAGGCTCAGGCAAAACTCGTCTCTCACCCGCCATCCTCTCGGCATTCCATCTCGTCCGCGGCGTTCCTCCAGGTGGCATCGTGCATCTCATCGCCGACACATACAAGACATATCACCCCGAATACACGCGCCTGATGCTGTCGACGCCCAACCTAGCCTCGCCTGCCACGGGGCCCGATGCGAGGAAATGGCTTGCAATGGCGTCCGAGGAGGTCGTTCGACGAAAATTAGACGTCCTTCTAGAGAGCGCATGTCGGCATCCCGATGATTTTGTGCAACTGGCTCGTGTTTTCAGCACGGCAGGATACCGCGTAGAAGTGGTGCTGTTGGCGGTGCCAGCCGCGCTCAGCAGATTGGGCATCTTGGTGAGGTTCTACGAGAAGCTGCCCGAGGGCCAGTCGAGGAATTTACCTGTGAGGCTGACGCCCACAAGAGTCCACGATGATTCGTATGCCGGACTGTTGGACGCAGCGAAGTTTTTGGACGAGACCTCTACAGCAGATCAGGTGCTTGTAGTCAGGAGAGGGAATCTCGTGGCATATGGCACCACCAAGGGGGTCGATGGGAAGATGGTGAATGGAGGAGGCGTGGAAGAGGCGCTGGAGAGGGAAAGGGAGCGGCCACTGACGGCACAGGAGATGAAGGCCGCTCTGGATGACGTCCAAAAGATGAGTACGCATGAGGATGCGAGTGAGCAGGTGGAACACGTGAGAGGTATGTTGAAGCCACTGATTGGGGACAGCTCCCAGGATGGTTGGCCAGAATTGAAGCCCTTGACTTTTGGGAAGATTAACGAAGAGGCTGGTGGAACCTATAATGTTCTTCGATTGGGACAACTGTGAGTACTGAAATGAATCTCGGTTTTTATATCATTATGTCAGATAATGGTAGTAATGTCCCTTGGATACTCGTCCAGGATCATATATGAGGATTTTGCGATCAACGGTTCAAGCGAAGCAAATAGATACATGCCACCGGTACTCATACAGCGGCGCGTTGAGTTGAAGCCTGCAAGTTTGCCAATTCTTGGCCCTACCAGCCCTCCACATCATCTTATAGATTCACATCAGGAACCCGTCTTTCGTCCAGACACAGTTTGCCGTTTCATATCGCGGTGTAGGGCTCCATCGTTCTTTCGCTTCGGAGTTGTCACGAAAATACTCTTCTTATGGGTATCAGCTGTTTCTCGAGAAAATAATGTCGATTCTGTTCCTGAACTCTTTGGAACGTCTGAGCTTGCGGCTGTGGCTTGTGATTCCCTCGGTTGGCCAAACTCCGCTTTTGTGGAGAGATTCCTTTCACGCACAACTTCTTTCAACTTATTCTTGAGAGTAGCCGTGCCAAAATACTTTGAGAATTCTGTTTGTAACAGAGGATAGTGTCGGGAGAGATCAGAATATGCCTTGAACAATTCTTCTTGGCCTCGCGCTTGAACTAAGGCTCCCATTAAGACGCTAGGAAGCTGCAGCGGCATCGGGTTCAACTTTACTGGAGCTTTCCAGCTGCCTAAGATTTTGTGATCTAGCTGTTGGAAGAAGAGCAAGTGCTTCTCCGGAGTGCATAGCCAATCATGACATACGGCTTCGAGACCCGAAATTCTGACCTTTGGGGAAATTTGGAGGCATTGCCACACAAATGTCTTGCTATTCTTGGACAGTTTCAGGCATGGCTGAAAAATATCCTGTTTCAAAGTCCTGTCCAATACCGTCTGAGTATACCGGTTGAACTTGGGAATTATGTTCTCTATGCCCAAGCCCGCTGTCAGCATTATAATAGCAACTATACCCAACGACCAAATGTCAATGGCTGGGGTTTGGGCAGACTGGCTGTCATACAGCTCCCTGCGTCCAATAGTTAGATACATTGGCAAGCAGCCAGGAGTGCGAAGCTTCTCACGGTGCTTGATAGTTGGCTGTTCCGACGAATGTCTTCATTCGGCTTCTGCGTGGCACCGCACTTGTGGCGAAGTCTGATAACATAACTCGATGGTACGCAATTTTTGGCGAGTAGGCTAAAAGAATGTTTTCTGGTTTGAGATCCCGATGAATGATGCCTTTGGTGTGGAGGTAATTCAGTCCCCTTATGACTTGTCTAATTATAATCCTGGTGTCAAATTCTTTCACCCCATTGTGTCTGTTAATGAAAGACATCAAGTCGCCCCCCGAAGCTAGCTCCGTGAAAATGAAGCTGCAATTGTTAGCACATGCCTGGTAGTGGCAACAGAAAATACTTGCAGGGAATGGGGAGAAGCAATAGATTCAATATATGGCAGGATATTCGGCTAACTCCATTTAGCAGTCAGTTGTCTATACAATAGCATGGGCACCTACATGTCGTAGTTGGCGAAGGATATCAGCCTCTTGTAATTTTCTGGTTGAACCATGTCGGTCAAATCGATTTTGAAGCTCGTCAAGATTCACCACCTTGCATACAATCTGTCTTTTTGATATCGCATCTTGCGCCAAATAAACATTAGCATCTGTACCTTGTCCAATGCAACGCTCTGATATCGAATATTTGTCCGAAAATAACTGGGAAAACAGTTAGCGCTTGAAATTCGCGCAGCAGTTAGTATACTTACCCTGGACTCCGCCAGCTGGATTTTATTCATTTTCACTCGTGGAGGGCCATTCTCTTGATGAAACGTGAATTTCCAATAAGGCAGGATCTCAATGATATCGCCGTCTTCTAGGAGATATCCAGAGGAGATGTCGCGCCCTTTGCCAATCAAGATTCCGTTCACGAACGTGCCATTGAATGATTTGCGATCGCGGACGTAGACAAGATTGATACCAGGCTCATACACCACAGTGTAAATTTCGCAATGATTTCTGGAAACCAGGCTCTCATGATCGCTGCGGATGGAAAAGTCGCTGCGAAATAAGCACCGAGTCTCTTCTGGTATTGAGGGGTTGACATACTTTGACCTAGGATCCCTTCCAATCTTGAAAATGTCGTCTTCCCAGATGGATATCAAACCTCGTAAGGAATTAGCCGAACTGTACAAGGCGTGGATCGATAAGAACATCTGGACAAAATGGCACCTTTCTGGACCTGGTCGCCTTGAGCGAAAGTATACTCGAGACGTGCGACAGGAAACTGGGATGAGGGATCGCTGGCACGTGGTGTAGATGATGAGACTCTCATGATGCTTCAGTGGGCGACTGAAAATGTGCATGTTGATGTTTTCTTAAGGGTTCCTAACCAATTTAAAATCTACTCGTAATACCAAAACATCGTCTCTTCCCCTCCGACCTGCATCCTCGTCCTTAGGCACCCGTAGCTTCTGAAGTTGTCATGGCAATTACACCAAGTTGTTCCTTCCAGAATAGTTCAGTTAGCGTACTGTGCGGAACGAAATGACCACACCACGCACTGTGTGAAATACTGGGCCCGGTCCAGAACTGACGTACTGGACACACGTGACCTAGGGGGGTTTCTTGCCCTACATTGGGAACTTTCCCAAAAGCTTTGGAAATTCCCCCGCTCTTCTTCCGTTGCAACTCATCCAAGCACGATTCTCATCCACGAACAAGTAAGTACCTTCCCTCAATGGTGCATCTCGGGGACGTGCATAGGCATTGGAAATGCCTCTTGAAGCATTAACTGCCACCCGCAATCTTCCGAGTCCCATCGACAAACTTCACCATTGCTAATCACGTTCCAGTCCATCGTTCAAGATGAGAGCCAAATGGAGGAAGAAGCGCGTTCGTCGCCTTAAGCGAAAGAGAAGAAAGATGAGAGCGCGATCGTGAGTGACGCCAGCTAACTTTCCGAGGTGAAATCAATTGGAGCATTTTCTCTAACAACCACACAGCAAGTAAACGCCTCGCACCTCTACCTGACTTGACGCATCTTTCAAGAAGTAACGAACTCCTCGCGCCTGTGGGACGTGTACACACGAAGCCGGAGATGGGCCATGTATCAGTGACGACGATGGGGTTTTGCCTTTTGGGATTACGTCAACGGCGGCTGGTTCCACCAATCCGAGCTACAATGTTTTGATGGGCGTGATGAGAGATGGGTGAATGGACAAGGAAACGGTCGGGTATAAGGACGGCGTTCAGGGATCGCCAAAGAGAAGCAAGCTGTCATAAAAAGACGCCTGCAGGAACACGTTTGGCACATTGCTTTGACAAATGAAACACAGAATTTGCTTCTTGAACTGTAACATGCGTGGTCTCGTGATGTGTTATGATGATGTCAAAGTGCGCGACAGTGTACTTTTGGAGAGTGTGGCAATGGGCAATGGCGACAGTTCCACACGTTGCTTACCAATTGTTACATGATGTAAAGTTCTTCTGAGTAGAGTGTAACAAATAAGCTTGGTTTTCGCTCAATTGAGCTCCTATTAACTATTCTGTTTGTGCTCCAATCTCGCCTAGCTGAGCTCCAGGGCAGCTATGGAGCGAAATTGCCTTAGTGGAGCTGGAAGCTGCCAGCTGTCAGCCTGTTCGAAATTTCATAAGTGGATTGTCCACAAATTTGGCTCTGTGAACTTTAATAACTTTCTCAATATTCAGATACCTTCAAGCAAAATCATTAGCTATAAGGAGTAAACAACTAGCCTACTCCGTATATATTATCGCTTTTGTCGTGAAAATCAGCTATCCGTTGCTTTTATTATCGTCAACTTGCGGCACACGGAGTAAGAAAAAAGGCAGGAATTAGCTGGATGCGTCGTAACATAAAATTGTTTTCAAAAGTTGACGCAGCCTTCATCAATGCAGTTAATACCCAAGGCCGGTTACGTTAGTGCAATACCTGTTCTTCAGGAGACTATTTGTTCATTGGATATTACAAAGTTCACAAGTCCATTTTGAGTACAAAATGACTGCAAAGTGACTCCAAGGGCTGCATCCGCCTTGGCAAAGAAGTACCGTACCACTACCAGGCGCTGGGACAAACTCTTGTGGTACAGAGATTATCCACTGGTAGTGTTGGTGGGCCCAAAGTCTCACCGCCCCGCAGCTAATTGGCGGACAGGTCTCTTGTGCCGCTCTTTCGATGTTTGACAGACCAAAATTTTTTGGAGATGTCTTTGGGCCTTTGAGAAGATTGAGCTGAGCAGAGAAGACCAGCCCAACCTTGGCCCAGATCACCACATAATGGCAGACAACAGCAGTAAGAAGCGGAAGAGAGGCGGAGAATCTTCCGGCAAGCCTAAAAAGAAGGTTGTGCTGGACGTGCCAGCATCTACCGCCTCGGTCTCATCAGTCCTTCGACCCAAACACTGCCCACCAGTCATTGGTAAGGAATTGACAGGTTGACGGTATACTGAGTTACTACTAACTTGCAGCTCTGTAGCTACGACTCCTGGTGTCGAAATCTCTGAAAATATTGCGTTTTACCCATATCAACCTCAAGAGGGCCTACGATCAAAGTCGACGAAATTGAAACATGCGGGCGACAAGGAATTGCTGTTGCACTCAACCTCTCACCGAAGCCTAGATTATACTGCAAGAGAGGAAGGGAAAAGAGGGTTCAATCAACTAGTTAATCACTATATTGGAATTTATGACCCCAAAACCGGAAATCTCGAGGTAGTGGAGGCCAAGAAGATGGTTGTGCGAGGCATGGTTCGCGCCAAGCAAGCATCGGCCTCTTCCATGGGAGAGAACCAGGCCAAACAGGTGAGATGAATTTCCTAGCATGGGACTCATTGCTCAATGGTAAGTCAATGATGCTAACAACACTTGTAGAATATGATGGAGCGCAAAACGGACCTGGGACAAACATTTGGTACCAAGAAAGCCAAGAAGGCCATCCGCGAAACTGTACTCAATGCCATTGCTCCGCAGAGGAAACCTGGCGATTCTCCTACGAAGATTGATGATGCCGGCAAAGCAATTCTGAGCTCAGTCGGCGAGGTCACGACAAACATGGCAACGAGAGAAGAGTTACAGGCTGCCGTCGACGAGGCCAAGCCGGTGCCCAAGGCCAACTTGGATGCGCTGGACATTCAGGATGTGTACGATCCAAACGTCATCGTTGGTGCAGATATATTGAATCTCGTGCCCATCAGAGAATGGCAAGAAAAGGTTCGACACAAGGAAGGCATCCAAACAATATCCCGGTTTGTAGCGGCCCGAGTCAACGCCATTGCTTCCGACGACGACGCCGTCACCCGTCTGCGCGTGCTTCGATACCTCAGCTTTGTCCTCATGTTCTACCTAAAAACCACACCTGGAAAACAGCGGGGTACAAGGCAAGTCCCCCCTCGCGAAAAGTTGCGTGAGCTGCTATCTCCGGCTCCCGAGGCTGTTGTCGAAAGCATTCGTCGAAAATTCTCCGATGCGGGCGTTGTGAGAAAGTTTCATATTGATCTCCTCATGGCGTACTGCTGTGTCTTTGCATGCATCGTCGACAACTTTGAAGTCGACACGCAGAATCTCAGAGATGATTTGAGAGTGGACCAGAAAACGATCAACCAGTACTTTCACGAGATTGGAGGCCGTGTCAGGCCTGTTAGCAACAAGGCTGAGGGCGGACGGCCCATATATGTGGCCAGACTAACATTGCCTCTAGACTTTCCTAAGCAGAGGCAGATGGCTCAGCGTCGCAAGTGACGGGGTGAGGGCTGTTATGATTCAACACCAAAAATTGTATGTAGATGATGCATAGAACGGCGTTTGGGATGGCCCTGTCAAGAAAAAAATCCACTGTATCTGCAATACGGCTGGCGCAATGTATTTACATGGCGACTACAAAAGTATAGTGCCTTGCTTTCGTAAACCGAGTTTTCTGACACGAATGTTACAAAATTTGTCACTGTCAGTTGCAAGTGATGGCGACCGTCTAAGCTCCATGTCCATCCAAACTCATGGAGAGTTGACAAACCCAAACCACGAGCACTGCTGCATTCACATAATTCAACCAAACAGAAGCTACCGAGGCCCCTACCACAGTCAAAACAATGCATCTTTCCCCTTCCTTTCCGAATCTGTATACACCATCCAATCGGTTGATGCCAAAGCCCCCCTCCATAGCCGGACCGAGGCATCTTACACCGTAATCCCATCCGAGTGGGGCATCTCAACCCCAACCCCAACCCCAGATCTCCTGCGGGACTTGGAGCAAACCTGTCAAAACTCCCCGTTCAGGATGCCTTAAAACCAGCGTCGTTTCCCTTTCGTTATTGCTTTCCTGTTTATTGTGTTGTACTACCATCATCACCATTATAGATCTTCCCGTCAATTGACCCCGTCATTACCGATAGACTGCTCAACGCCCATTTGGTCATTGACTTCTAACTCTGGTGACAGCTTGATTATTCTTATACGCCGTGAGGATTAACAAAGAAGTAAGGCCAGGGAAGGAAAAAAAAAATAGCAGAGGCAAAAGAATGGCTACCGAATCCGTCATCAGCGTCGAGTACCGCGGCCGCGTGGCCGTCATTACCATCGACAATGAGAACAAGCTGGGTGCATTGTCGCAGCCGCAGTACTACGAGCTCGCGACCAAAATGAATGAGGTGGCGGGGCACGATGAAGTGTTTGTGACCGTGTTAACCGGCAAGGGACGCTTCTTTTCTGCGTAAGTTCTCGCCGCCACCGCCATCTCGGAGACGTGGAGCAAAACCAGGACGGGCGTCCGTCCGAATCAACACCAAGCACAAACACCGTCGTCGCCAGCGGCTAGTGTTCATGCGAGCAAAGACTAACACGCGCGCAACAGAGGCGCGGACGTGTCCATCTCCCGCGAAGCCCCGGCGGTCCCCTCGGACGCCCACAAGCTCTGGCTCCAGACGTTTGTCGCCTTCAACCTCAACATCACGTACACGTTTGCCAACCACCCCAAGATCCTGGTCGTCGGGCTCAACGGCCCCGTGGTTGGGCTGTCGGCGGCCCTGGTCGGCTGGGCCGACTTCGTGTACTGCACGCCGCACGCGTTCCTGCTCACGCCCTTCTCGTCGCTTGGCCTCGTCGCCGAGGGCGGTGCCTCGCGCGCCCTCGCGTCCCGGCTGGGCCCTGCGCGCGCCAACGAGGCCCTCATCATGAGCAAGCGCATCCCCGCTGACCAGCTGAAGCAGTGCGGTTTTGTGAATGAGGTCTTCGACTTTGGAAAGGCCGACGACGCCAGGTTTCGCGCCAGGGTGCTGGAGGAGGTGGACGAGCGGCTGGGCGACCATTTGAACGGCGAGAGCTTGGTGGGCATCAAGAAGCTGTTGAGGAAGCCCGATTTGGATGTGCATAACTCGCAGAGTGTGCACGAAGTCTTTGCCGGTTTGGATCGCTTTGTGAAGGGCATTCCGCAGGAGGAGTTTCGCAAGTTGGCGAGTGGAGAGAAGAGACATAAGCTTTAGGCTGACCAAAAATTTGCAGTGGTATTGTTTGCAACGGCATCATGTCATGGAACTTTGGGAATGCGTAAATTTGTAATGATCCATTTCGAGGACAAGTCTATGCCAATAGCCCAAACAACAAGTTGACGCGTCCCCCAAAGTCTTGCGCCATCTTGTTAATCTTCTTCCTCGCCGCTTCATCGAGTCCACTCTTTTTATATACCTCGACATCCAGCTTTTCAAACTCTCGTGCCCCTTCACCCTTGGCAATACAGCAGCGCAGGAGCGCAATATCAAACAGCCATTGCGTACAAATGTCCACGGTGTTCGCCTCAGGCCCCTTGAACTTTTCTTCATCCAAGTCGTTCTTCTCCTCATCGTCATTGCCAATCTTCTCACGCCGTCCACCCTCTGGTGATAATCCATTAAGCTCCTTATGCCACGGCTCGCAAAGCTTTGTCCCCAGCAAACTCTTCATCACCGCCATCGCCACAGGAGTCCACAGATCAACTCCCAAATCCGTCATTGACAGCGACAAGTCCCTCAGCAACTGGAAAACAGCTGGCGAAGGCTGACTTGGTAGTGCCGGCTCTCCCTCCCACAGCGGTTTCATGGCCACACTCTTATCCGACAGACCAGTGGAGACGAACTCTTCCGTCGCCGACTTGGAAGCCATGACGGCAACCTGATTGTGAAGGCTGGGAACCATGGATATTCCAAAGTCCTTGATAGCCGGACGGTCTGGGAGCTGTGTGCGGATGTCGCGTACCACGCGGATGAGGTAGATGGCTATGGCGCCGCTGGATTTGTGCTCAGAGTATTGTTTCCACAAGCCCTGGAGCTGGTCTTCGAGGTCTCGAAATGACTTGTCTAGGGTTGTGTCCAGCTTCTCTTGCAACTTTTTGGGGTCCTCCTTACTAAGGATCCTCTGTCTCGCTTCAATGGTTTCTTCGTCCTCGATCTCGTCGTAGTCATTGTCCCAGCGCTGTCTTCGCAGCTGCTCCACGACGGTCTTTACGTCGTCAATAATGTGGAACCATGAACTGTAGCTGTGAGTTGCCTTTGAAACTGCGTCGTTACGGCCGTATAGCCGGGAGACAACCTCCTGAATAAATGGCGCGGCTCCGTGTGACAAGGCGACATCATAGCCTTTGTCATCCCAGAGGCTGATATGCGCATCTGAAATGCTGGTTTGCCACCCTTCAAGGGTAGCCTTGACTTCAGATCCAACAAGCCGCAGCTTTGTGGCTTTGATTTCGACGACGGCCAGCAGCCGGGCATTGATGGCCTCGCGCATTTCGTCTTGCAAGCCTTGCGGGTCGAAGCCCTTGGCCCGGCCGCCATCTCTAATCCAAAGCTGCAGTACCTGGGTTCGCAGGTCAGTAATTGACTTAAAGTCCATCATGTGACCGAGCGTCTTTTGCAGCCCAGAAATGACGATCTGCCCACCCTTTTCGGCAAACGCGCCAAGCATTTCTCTTGCCTGCTTGCCATCAAGATCGTCATGTTTGATGAATGGCGTGAAATCTTGAATATCATCGCTACACCAGCGTTCATAAATGTCCAATCGTAAGCCTTCGAGCTTTTTGAGAGAAGCGTCTGCCAACAGGGTGTGATTCTTCAGTGCGGACAGCGCTTGTGACAGCTTGACTGGAACCAAGGCCTGCACATCAAGAAGGGTCTTGGAGTATAGCCTCAAGCTACGAACCACATCCTCCGTAGTAGTCGTTCGCTCACTCTCCTCCAAGTCCAATGCAGCCTCCATAGCCCGCTGTCTTACTCGAATGAAGAGCCAGATAGCATGCTTGGCCCCAGAGCTATTGGCAAGACTATGAGCGCACAATGCCTTGATCACATCCTCCGTGTCTGTCGCATCTTCCGCATTCTCAAGTAATCGCTCGATGCTCCGTTGAATACGGCGACGTAGCGACTCCAACGTCTTACCAGCAGCGTCAACCATGTGCTGGGCGTGCTCCGACGACACATCCTCCCTCAAGCTCTTGATCAACAATCGGCCGATTACAAACACCTTTGTGGCCAGGACCAATCTATCGCCCTTCCTCATGTGCTCATCGACTCCCGCACCACCTTTCAATATCCTGGCTATCATGAGCCCACATGAATCAAGTAGCTTTAGCGTCGCTGTCTCGATCGCTTTCGGATCTCTATCCCTGGTGACAAATTTCGCAAGCCCAGACGCCTTGGAAGATATGACTGCTCGTCCGCACCGGGCCCCCATGTTGCCTAGAAGGTCCTGCACTCGACCATTATCGCCACGCATTTGAACGATCGTGTCAGCCGTGCCTAAAAGTTCGCGGTACGAGCCGCCGACCTGCGTCCGTAGACGGGCCGCCTTCTCCTCAATCTGGACATGGAGTGATTTGTGAATGGATCGAATCTGTGGGAGGGTATGACTTCCGGAAAAGATGTCGGCACAAGAGGTGAGCGTCGCTAGGTCGGGGGCGGAGGTCATTGCGACGAATGGCGCCTTGAAGGCAGAAAGTTATGGACAACTACTATATTAGACAGGCCATCAGCGCCCCATCAAAGCTTCATGCAAAAAATATAGCGCACGATGCGCGCAGTTTCCAAGGTCCTGTGTAGATAGTAGAAGTTGAGAAGCAGAGCTTAGGACAGCTTGTTCGAAGTGAGACCTGGCCCAGGTGGGCCCACTGGCTCAACCCATCCCCCAAATTGCTTCGGCCATGCCATTCAAGAACAGCACAAGGACATTTGAATATAACCACATTCCTTGGTCAAGATATAATACAACCCATGTATACTATTCTACTGACATCAATACTCTACAATTTGATGCTCTTAACGACACCAACATTAATACCAGACGTTTCTCCTTGGTAGCCGCCCTTGGGCTCACCACCCTTCCAAACAGGCTTCATGCTCTTCAACTTCTTCTGCTTGGCCTCATACTGCTTTCTCCTCTTCACTCTTGGGTTTCGGACATCCTTGTTTCTCTTGGGTGCCAGGCCCTTGTTTTTCTCAATGGCATATGTGATCTTCCTCTTGCCATCCTCTCCCACCTCTTCATTCTCCACCACTCTATCTGCCTTGCTTGCTGCAGCATAGGCAGCATAACGAGCGGCCTTCTCTTCTCGCTTGCTCTTTGACTTGTTGGCCACCATATCATAGTACTCGTCCTCGTCATTTCGAAGAGCGTTCGCGGCAGTGTTGTCGTCGTCGTCGCTGTCATCGCCAAGATCAGCACCATGTTTGGAATCTCGCTTGCCTCGCTTCTCCGCCTCTGCAAGGAGACGGGTTTGTCTGTCTCGAAGTCGTTCACGATGTGGAATGTCCATGTCTCCTCCAGCATCGCGCCCGGCGCCGGCACGCTTGTTGGCCTTTTGCGTGATTTGTGACGTGTAGAATTTGAGACTATTCTTCCGGGCAGCCTTGTCCGCGGCAGCTCGGGCGTCTAGGGTGTCTTCTTCGCCAAAGTCTGAGTTATCGTCTTCCTTCAAAGCTGAGGAAAGCTTCGGCTTCCGTTTCGACTTTCCAGGGGCAATCGGTAAGTTGTAAAGGTCGGAAACGCTGCTTTCAATGGCCCTGGCCTTTTCGAGCTTCTTCGCTTCCTTAGCAGCTGAAACCTTGTCTTTCTTCGCGGATTTCTTTTTCTTGGTAGTGTCGAGTGCGGCCAGGGCATCATTCAATGCATATTGACCGTCGAGGTCCGCGGCCAGTGACAAGGACGTCTCATCGGGGTTGGTCGCTGCCGTCAGGTTCTTCACTCGATCCCAAGCCTCGCGGCAACTGAGCAATGTCTCCATGACTTCGTGATCCCGTAAGTCAGTTGCCGACAAGGGCTTTTGCAGTTTTCCAGCGTCTCGTGCAGGTGATGTAAGAATGGCAAAATAGCTGGCCAGGGTGGCAACATAGCAGCCCAACACCCAGTACTTGATGGCCTCGATTGATGTGTCTGGTTGGTTGGCAGCGTCTTCCTTGAGACCGAGATATACGGGGTGCAGCTCCTCCAGCTCGCTTGCCAAGTGCTCGAACTCAGGGTATCTTGTTGACAAGAGCCGCGATCGCTCCTCTATGCTCATTTCCGGGGTGACTTCGATATCCTTGAGAACCTCAACAACCTTCCCGTCGCCTTCCTCGGGTTCAGGCTCTCCGGTGAGCCATTCGTCGCCGTCAAACACGAAATCTTCCTCTCTCATTTTGGAGAGTTTCTTTTGCTGCAATCGCTTGGCTTCGGCTTCTTCCTCCAGCGCATCGGCCTCGGTCTCAATGTTATCAGCGTCATAGTACTCCTGTTTTGAAGATCCCCACCAGCCAGAGTCCCCTTCGTCTTCTTCTTCATCGCCGTCTTCGAGATCATCCTGGTCATCATGCTGCTTCGTTGTAGCCTTCTTTGACTTTGTCTGGGGCTTTGCATCGGTCTCGTCATCCTGATCATCAGAGTCGGAGTCCTCGTAGCCAAGGATCTCTTCGTCTGACAATTCCATATTTTCATCCTCCTGTCTCCTACGTTTCGATTTCGGCTCGTCTTCCAGCATTATTGTGTCTTTGTTGAGAAAGTATTCGTCTTCCGAATCGGCGACATCTTGATAAGTGGTGATGGGGCCAAGTCTAGCCTCACTGGGATCGAGTTCTTTTGGGCCTTTTGGGCCGGCATTGCGACTGCCAGCCTTTCTCTTCTTTGCCATGATGACGGAAAGTCGACTTGCCGCGGTTTGGAGGAATGCGTGCAAAGGATGCGGCTTGGTGATGGGACAAGCGAGTTGATCAAGCTGCGACGGACGACTTTTTTCTCCGCTTTGGACCAATGTTGGGTCAGAAAATTAATTTTGATAAGATAAGAGGACGGTGAGTGAGTGGGGCTCAGCTTGCACATGCCGTCGTGGCCAGACAGGGGTCGCCCGCGTCGCTTAAACAGAGCATCATTGGCGCGTTTAGCGCACCAGCCAGAGCCTGAGATAAGTACTCCGTACGGCGACCTCAACAGCGTGACAGGCATCATACAGTAACATCGAACTTTAACAGTTGCATTACTTCGTATCCGCATCTCCCTCATATTTCCCTCAAGTAAAAGACCGATGGTGGGAGCCTGCACGTGATGACGCCTTGCAGCACAGCACTCAGAGACGTGGATAGCCTGCTGTTACACAGAAGACTTCCAGGTGTTCTCCCCACTGCCTCTCCCTGCCGCTGCTGGGGTGGGACGACATGCCGAAGGAACTTGATGATCCCATCGACTAATCTACTGTGGCATCATACAATGCCTCCTCCCCTAACGCCCCATGTAGCGAAGCGAAGATGTCGTGCATCAACATTTGAAAAGTTGAGGCTGCATCCCTACCCCCAACCCGACGCCATTTGTGCTTGACTATTTGTGCTGAGTGGGTCTCTCGCCTGACAAGTGACGGATGACACAACATGACTAGGATCGTCACGAACCCATTGCACCATGACGGCGGTGTGTGGCTTGCTCCAAGGGTTGATGACGCTCCCTGTCGGACCTTGGGCCGGGCTAAAAGTCTGGGGCAAGGCACAGCACTTGCAGTTCAGACACCACGTGAAGCCTGAGCGTGCAGGGAGGCGAGAGACGACCCTTGTGGCAGATATCTGAGCTAAGACATTGCCATCAGCGACACACCCGTTCATCCTTATTGGATTCCAGGTCGGGCCTGGTGCTTCGACTTCCACCTCCAATTCCTGCTGCTAATGCTGCCCTGCGAGCTTCCTCGCATCGCGTGGACACGACTCTAGCCCGTTGCCGAATTTCCCGTCTTGCATGCAACGCGAAGGCATGGACGGCACTCTTCCTTCCCCGGTCACTCTGCAGTCTTTGATTTCCGTCTCATAGCTCCTCCTTCTCGGATCTTGCTGCCGATCCTCTGTCGACCTGCTATTCTTCACCGGTCGAACGCATAGCTCTTTGGCGTGGAGGCTGCACGTAATATCGGCCCCCCTCGCTGTCAACGTGCCACCCTTGGAAGCTCTCGTCTGAACCTCCACAAGCCATCTCAACTCGCACGCGTCTTACCATCCTAGGCCTCGATCCTTTCGCAGCATTACACAACATAAATCTGCTCGACCTACCCGATCCAGACAACCATGGTGGACGGGGAGCCCTCTAATACCGGTTCCCAGCCGTCTTCGCCTCGTGCGAGTCGTCGGCCACATGCTCTTCATAGGACTCATTCCAACATGGAGCCTAACGAGCGCTCGCCATTATTATTAAATACTTCGCGATCCAGAATAAGAATAGATGGCGGTGCGCCGTCTCCTCGAATTCCCCAAATATCTCGAAACCACAGTTATACAGGTATGGCTACAACACTCGAATCAATAAATTGAATACTATGATGTTCTGCTTTTTGTCAAAAATTGAACGCTGACAACTGTTTCCTTCCAGGTAGCGTACGGCAAACCAGACATCACACCAGGCAGGGGTCATGGGGGCAGAGACTGATGCAGGCCCTGTCCGACCGGAATACCTCAATGTCGGAATCCAAAGCATCTACCGTTCCTGACGAGAGAGTATGGTATGATCAGTTCACCAGTACTGACTGGGTGCACGATACTATTGCAGATTCTCATCGCGTCAAAGCTTTGAGAAGCCGAAAAGACTTCTGGGGTCGGGTTCGTGTTATGCTTGACGGCTGCCAGGGCTGGATTCTCAGTGCCGTATGTGGACTTGTCATTGCCATCATTGCGTATGCCATCGACGTTGCCGAAGTCACCATCTTTGACTTCAAGGATGGTTACTGCTCAAGAGCGTGGTACTTGAACGAAAAGGTGCGGCACCAATGTGGCATGTTTCTCGTTGAAAGCCTGTCAACTAATGAGCGTGTGCACAGAAATGTTGTCGACGAGGTCCATGCGATGACTGGAGAAGCTGGTCGCAAGCCTTCAACTATCACCCATTTGGCGAGAAGTGGACTGATTTCACAATATACCTAACATGCGTCGTTGGCCTAGCGCTCCTCTCATGTTGGATTGCGCTTGGGACAAAGACCGTAGTTCCGTCGGCATATCAACTTACCACCTTGGACGAGAATCTAGCCGCCCTACCTCGAGAAGTCGGTCAGCCTGCCGACGGAAACTCGACCGACGACAGCGCAAGTCCTCGCCAGCAAGATGGGTCACAACACACAAGCCCTCCCATGATCTATTACTCTGCTGCTGGCAGCGGAGTTGCTGAAGTTCGTGTGATTCTCAGTGGATTTGTCCTACATGGCTTCCTGGGCTTTCAAACTCTTATTATTAAGTCTGTTGCACTTGTCCTCAGTGTCGCGTCTGGTCTCAGTCTGGGAAAAGAAGGACCGTACGTTCATATTGCAGCTTGTGTCGGCAATATTGCCTGTCGGTTATTTGCCAAATACGACCGAAACGATGCCAAGCGTCGAGAAGTACTCTCCGCTGCAGCAGCAGCAGGCGTTGCAGTTGCTTTTGGTGCTCCTTTGGGCGGAGTATTATTCGGACTGGAAGAGGTCGCCTATTTCTTCC